CGATCTCAGTGATACCTGGCAGAAAAGGAAGAGAAAATCTTTTTTTTTTTTAATGGAATACGAAGATAGTGGATTGCTTGTTCAAAGAAATCTTTGACATGCATCTTGGTTATCCCACTGGTCTCCTGAAAGGGGTAATTACTTATACATCCGGTTTGTTTATAACTAGTTTAGTCACAAGCCTTTTCTAAATCCTGGGAAGGTCATTCTAAAGCAACATCAATTTTAAGGCATGATTCCTTTTAAAGAAGACTTCTTTCCCTCAGCGGTGCCATTTCTCCCACTATTTTTTTCTTCTCCCCTGTGTCCTGTGCCTTCAATCCAGGTGCGAGGTAGGCTGAAGAAACTTGTGGGCCAGAGGGCAACTCGGCCAAGAGCAGAAGATGCACGAAAAAGGGTCAGCAGGAAGAAATTAGCAGCCCGATCCCATTGTTTCGGCTTTGAAAGAAGTTCCATCTCGTTCAAGTCAGTGGCAGTCTTGGGGGTGCGCCCTCCAAACCTCTAAGCTTTAGGCTGCCTGTTCGCTGATGGTCGAAGCTGGCAAACGAGCGCCAGCATCGATTCCTAGACATCTGTGGCCACAGTTCTCGAGTGGGGTAGAGCTGCCTCAGCTAAGCACCCTTAAGGTGGAAACCCATCCAACCGAAAAGGAAGGACTCCGCTCCGCGGTAACCCTGCTACGGGGGAGGGGCGCTGGTGGCCTGATCCACCGAAGCACCGGCCTTGAAAGCCACGCTGGCACCGCGAGGGGCGGGAGTCGGGCCCTCGAGCAGCAGCGTTAAGCCCCCGCCGCGGCGCGACCCGGGGTCTGCAGGCGGCAGCCCATCCGTGCTGTCTTGAGGGACAGCCGTGTTGACCTCAGAGCGGGCCTGGACTAGCATCCCACTGTAGCGATGAACGAATACGGAAGCTTGCGACCCCCTTCCCACTTCCGTATATGGTCAAGCTGTGCATGGGAGAGAGGGACCTGCTCCCACCCCTCCCAAGACAGATTTATCAAAAGACCCCCAAGATCAGCCACGGAAATCAACCAGAGTTAAGGCCGGTCAGTGGGGTTCGGACTCCATCAGCCACGTGCTTGGGCTGACTTGGACGAGGGATGGACCGAATCTAAGGAGCGTGAACTGGAGGAGGCCAACCAGAAGATGCTCGGGCCCGAGAAGCAGCACACTCAGCGTCTGTCTGAAGACACACACGCAGCGCGGGCGCCCAGTCCTGCGAACCGGGTCGCCGCGACCCGAGCCCAAGCCGGCATCTATTCTTCGCCGGCAGAAAGCCGTTGCATTGATTCGGTGTAATTATCTGTAGCGCTCGGACCGGCGTCGCTGGCCTTGCATTGTCCCCTGTTTGCACACATTGTTTCCCCACGTTCATCCATTCTCATTTACCTGTCACGGACGGGAGGAGGATCAGGGCGCAGCCTCGCTGCTAGGGCAGAATCGCGGCAGCCTCGCGAGCTGAAGTTCCCCGGTAACAGGCCGAGCTGCTGGGCTTTCTCTTTGAATCGCTCCCCTGCCTAACTCCGTCCGCACGTTTTGCAGCTTCAGGTTTAGAGACCGTCTATAGCTTGAAGGTAGCACCAAGTACAGTAATAAGAAGTGAGTGGGCTGGGGGAGTGAGTATTAAAAGTTATTCAGTGTTCTGTATACCAGGACTTGTGGAGTAATTGGCAACATGTAGGCATTACACTCATAATGTTGGCTTGGTGTGTGTGAACCGTAGCAGGAAAGCAACAGAGGATTCCACGCGTGTGGTTATTTTCGGCGATGCCTGTCTGTTACGGCCCAAGAGCTTAACAGAAGAGGTACGGGATTTAGAAACGGCTGATCTAGGCTTGCAAACGTGGAACAGTCCCTTTGAATTACCACGGGTGCAATCTAGATGAGAAAAAGAGTCCAGAAGTTTCCAGCATTCCCCAGTAAACTGGCAGAAGAATGCTGGGAGATTTAGGACGTGTTTCTGTTTAAATATGCGTGGGATTGTACCACAAACCAATTCAGTGCATGCACCAGCAGTTGTTTCTCTCTTCTTGTATCCCTAATGCTATGCACGCTTCCTGGGAAGTAAGCCCCTTTTGGTTCAGTCGAAAGGACCGCCATCCTACCCCTGTTTGCTTCCAGGTGAAGGACTGAAGCCTAAGAAAGAATAAGGACTCGTAGTTTAGGGTTTTTGGTTTTGTGTTCTGCTTTTTTGGCATGTGGAAGTCAATATGGTCCGTCCCCCCTTCCATTCATGGGCCTTTCAGAATCCTGAAAGATGAAGCCCAATCCGATGAAAATCCACGGCCGTGCTAGCATTACCTCAAGGAGAAGCGGACCACACCCGAAGAACCTGCACGCTCCTTTTCTGTCTCCCTCTTTCTCAATTCGATGAGATGGTTTCGGGGTTTGGGGGTGGGAATCGATCCAGGTAAAGCGGAGCAGGCCAACTATCTCTTGCACCCCTAACAGGACCCCTTTCCTCACACACAACAGTGAACGGTTTCCAGAAGTCCTGAAGCTGTCCCAAAAGCCTCTCTCAGAATGAGAAAAGGAAGCTCTGGAGCATGAAATGGTCAAAGGGGGGGGGGGGGTCAGAAAAGAGGCGGACTAGCCGAAGTGGTGACCGAGGGATACCCTTGGCCTGTCTCTCTGCGGTGCGGCGGCCTCCACAAAGGGGCTGGATAGGCGCGAGATGCACAGCCACGCGCGCCTTTTGCGCTGCCTACAAGCCGGCCGTGCGAGCAGCGCAGCGCAGCGGGGCACGGGGCACGGGGCGCGTCTCTCGATCCTTCGGCTGGCAACAGCCTCCCCTAGCCGTGCGCTTCGCAGGAGCTTTTAAGAACATGAGAGGAGACGTTTTGTAGGATTAGACAGACAGAAACCTCAAAAATAAACTCGTGGCGGGGGATCTACCACCGCGCCTAGTTCTTCCATGGCTTCTCAGGGCCGAATCTGGGGCGGGGAGCACTCGCCCTCCCGCAAGCTTTTTAAAAAAAACAGCTGCTGCATCTGTATCAATTGCCTGCTGGAGGGGCAATTGCCCCTCTTGCCCCCTCCCCCGAATCCAGGCCTGTGGTTTCGCCACCCTCAAACTGATGAAATCGGTTTCATGTTTGCTCCTACACTGTGAAAGCACGCCACTTGTCGCACGACAGCAAATGCTTCTTGTTGTTTTAATAAATGAGACCTAACGCCCTTGAAAGTGCTTTTAGGAGGCGATTCTACACAGCTTCCGTGGAGCAAGCTGCGCTTAAAACAGTGGGACATCCATCTGAGCAGGCAGCCAGAGGTCTGTGCTGCGGCTGCAGCCTGCAGATCTCCATCCATCCCATAAAGTTCGCCGGGCTTCTGTTCACTTTCGGGGAGCTTAGCATTGCGTTTTTACAGGTCGGTTTTCTCTCCTGCCACCCGCCCAGCCGCACGAATTAATAAAAAGCAACAATCGTTATCAACGGGCAATGAGATTGCTATCATTATGAGAGGAAAATTAATTACGAAGCCGAACTGCTTCGCTTTCCTCTGGTTGGTAATTGAAACGTCTCTTTAAAATTAATACACCTGGTTGACTTTAATGGCGCTCTGAAGTCGGAAAGTGGGACGGCGGCAAGTTAGTGTCATCCCTCGGGCGCTGTGATGCGCTGCGTGCAGACTCCAGCTCTCGGCTTATTAAAAATACATCTGTTTGTCATCCAAGGTTAGGCGCCTGCTGCAGCTGACATTCCCAACACAATCAGCGGTGTGCTGTCTTTTTCTTTTGTTTTTGAGGACATAAAAATAAAATCGGCCTCTCTCAAGTGGCATGTCATTTATTCGCTTCTGCGCGGCTGCGTGCAGCTGAAGGCGCTGGCCAGTCTCCCCTTGCTGTTCCCACGAGTGCTGTTTTGTGCATGTCACCCGACTAAATCCCGCCACGTGTGGAGCTGGAGGGTCGTGCTCCCCCCAGCCCCTTCCGTCCACTCCCCTCGGCTGTCCTGAACGGCAGAAGGTTCCCTACTTCCGAGGAGCTGAGGATCGGGTGCCTCAGACGTTCCCTGGCCTGCTTTCTCGTGCTCAAGCGCTTCCCTTCTCCGTTCAGACGTGCGCCTGCCCGGCCACTCGAATCATTTCCAAGGGCTTTCCTGGGTTAGAACAGGGGGTCGGGATGTGCCGATTAAAAGTGAACCGGGGCAGAAGCCAGTGCTGCTCCTATGAGCAGGGAGACCCATTGAAATGAATGGGTTCGGCCGACCCTGCACGCATGGCAGGCACCCCTCCACCGCCACGACTTCGGGGACAGCAGTCCCCCGCCCCCCCGCCCGCCGCCCCGCGGCCACCCCATAACCTGGAAGTGAAACGCGCCATCGCTTGGTGCCATTCTTGCGACGGCTTCCCGCTCCCTCCGCGCCACCGGCAGCATGCGCCGCCGAGGGGCACGGAGGCGGCCCTTGCTGCGGGCATTCCCGGAGCGCTTGGAGCTGGGCCCCTTCGGCCCGCGTGTGCGGATCGCGCTCGGAACCCCGCTGGCGCCAGGCCGCAGCCGGAGGGGCTCGGATGGCCACGTCCTGGCGGAAATGCCCCGGCCCTGGCGCGGGCCTCGGCGTGCTCTGGAGCGCGGCCGGCGAGAGCGGCCGGCCCCGGCTGCGCTCCCAACGCGGGACCTTTCCAGCGCAGGGGACGCGGCGCAGCGAAGGGGGAGAGCGAGAATCTGCGCCCTCAGAGTTTCCTCTTCGTCTCATCAGCCCTAATTACTCCGCCGACTTTCCTGTTGTTTTGGCAGAGCTACAGAGTTGGAAAGCTCCCTAATAACACCGCTCCGTTCGCTGCCCAGGTCATTAACTTATAATTTATTTAAAAGCGGAGGGAGGGGGGGAATATCTAAACGCAGACCGCGCTTAGGGCCAATCACATGAGTCATCGCTTGACGTCACCCGCAGCGCCAGCTCCCATTGGCCGAGCCGCGCTTACTCAACTTCCCAAAGGAGGAAACAGCCAGAAGTCTCCCAAAAAAGGGGAGGAAAAAAAGTTGATCGGCTGTTGGGGCTGATGCGAGCGGAGCTGGTGAGTCCGGGAGCGCCTGAGCGAGAGATTGATTGAGTGGTCTGGAGCGAAAGGCGAAGGAGGCGGTGGCTGTTGCGGCGCTGTTGCGGCGGCGGCGGCGCTCAGGCGGCTTTCTCCAGGCGGGGATCTTACGAAACCGCGCCGCGATGTCTTCTCCTTCCACCGCGAAAGAGGTTTTCTCCTCGGACGAAGAGGGCCCCGCCGCGGGGGCGGCCGAGGATCACCACAAAGTCAAGGTCTCCAGTTTGCCTTTCAGCGTGGAAGCGCTCATGTCCGACAAGAAGCCTCCGAGGGAGGCGAGGGAAGGCATCGAAGGGGCCGGCTTGGGGACTTCCAGGAACCTGCTCTTGCCCGCTCACGTCTCCAGGGAAGCTCCCAGCCCCGGGGGGCTTACAAAAACCTTTGAGACCTCGTCGGTTAAATCCGAGAATTCCGAGGATGGCTCGTCGTGGATCCCAGAGGCCGGCAGATACTCCCCGCCCCCAAGTGAGTCTTGGTTCCCGGAGGTCGGGGTTGGGCACGACCGCAAGGGCAGATCCGCTGGAGTCTGTAGAGGGCGATCCTGAAAGAATCGGGCATTGTGCCGGGGGAGGGCGGGGAAACGCATTGCGAGGCTTTTGGGTAGCTCCTGCGAAACCCCCCGAAGAGCCAGTGTCCCGACTTGGGAAGAGGAGGGCGGGGGAGGGAAATCTTGACTTGGAGCCGGCGGCACGGACACTGCGACCGAGGCAGCCTTAACAGCAAGCGAACAGCGCGGTTTTCGGGCAACAGTGAGTAAGTCCTCCTCAAAAACTGAGCAATGTTTCTTAGCCGAAGCCTCAAAGCCCTTCTTTTGACGTGTAAGTCCGGACTTAAAAGAAAAAGCCCTTTCCCACCCTACAGGCGCGATCTCCCCTAGACTTGTCTGTAAGGGGCCCTGAACTCTTCAGGCGGACTCCAGCAGCCTGAGGCCAAAAGCTCCGGGGTGCCGGATCTCGGTGGATCCCTTTTCCCCGTGGCCCGCGCTTCCCTTTGTTCAGCCCGTCTTAATCGCGTTTCCTCCCTCCCTCCCAGTTTCCGTCGGCACGAGGGATGTGGGGTTGGCGTGCCCTGCCGAGCATCAAAACAAAACCCTCAGTGTCCGTGGAGGATCCCCATCGGAGCGCCTCTGCGCAAAGGTTCCCTTGCCCATCCCGGCTCTTTCGCGGCAGCCTTCGCCCAGCCGCGCCGGCGCTCGGTGCCGCCCCGCCCCTCGGTAGGAAGGTGGCTTCGCCGGCTTCCTTTCCCGCTTGGAGAGTAGGCGATCGCGGTGCGTACAATCGCCCTCTGTTGCCTTCTCCGGTGCACCTGTAGCAGCAGCCTCCCCGAGGCTCCTAGACGCACCTCGGCGAGGGTGCTCCTTCGGTGTTTCCTCCGGCGGCGCGTCGCTGTACACCGAGCCGTGTCTGCGGCCTCCGAGCGCAGCCCAGGAGCAGAATACATTCTTCTGATCGGCAAGGAGCGGATTGTGCGTGTCTTATGCGTGAGTTCAGAGGGGCCCGCTCCGCTTCACCTGCGGCAGCCCACTAATCCTAAGGCGAAGGACCCTCGAAAGTGGCTCAGCGCACGCTGCTCGTGGCCTTGGCTCCCCCCCCCCTTTCTGGGAAGACTTCTGCGCCCCCTTTGCATACCCCACAAATCTTCTTGCTCTGGAACACACTTTCCTGGGCCCAGGTTTGCACCAGTTTGGAGTTCTATAATATTTGGAAGACCTTATATACACCTTTAGAAGCCATATTCAAGCAACCTCTTTTGCCATTTGCTGCTTTCAGTTGGCACCTTGATCATTTTAATATCATGTTCTATTGTGTTCTCAGCAGCCTTAATTCTTGGTACCAACATGTAAATCGGTGCACAGATACCTCGCTTTGTTACCACTATTTTCTGCTTCATTGAATATTGAAGGCAGGGGCAGGCAAATTCCAGACTCATGGTAGCTAATTTACTTTTATTAGAAACCCAAGATCCACCAACTGGAGTTTGATACAAAAGACACACACTTAGAATGGAAGAAATCTGAGTCCAGGAACTGGCTGGCACTCCCAGTCTTTTCCATGAAAAAAAGCATTCTTTATCGTGTGCTTTCTTCAATTTCAGAAGCGTAATTTAGAAAGACTCATGAGCTATTTCCAAAAACCTCGGCATCAGAAAGCCTAGCCGGTCTACTGCAAATCATCCTTCAGTCCAGATCTATCTTCTGCCCACTCCTGATGAGCTATTTGGAGAGGCGGGATAAGGGGACTGGGAAGGTGAAAAGAGGACCGCAATGGATCATTTAATTCCAAAAGTGTTGCCATGTTGGCAGAGTTGTAGCAAACAAGCGGCTAAAGACTACAACATTTGTTGTAGTGTATGTCTTTTTTGCCACAAAGACTTATGCCACAAAAAATTTGCTGGTTCACTTTATCGTATATAATGAAAGGGCTCTCCCTCATGAAAGCTAGGAAGATGTGTTAGTCGTTACCACACCAGCTTCCCCGTTGCTTTTAATGGAACTTGCAAGTCCGTGGTCTCAGAACCAAGGCACAAAGGACTATTCCCCCCTGCTCCCATTGCATGCAAAACTTCAGCAGCAAATAAATTTGCTCAAGAAAATGTGAGGAAAGCAGAGATTTCTATTGTTAGCTGTTTGTTTTCTTTTCTACGCTACAAGTCCTTACAAAAGCAAAGACGACCTAAGTTGTTCTCCAAGCATTCCGGTGCCTAATTCCCCCTGCCCCATCCTATACATAATTACTCAGAAGTCAGTCCTACTAAACTTGGGGGTGGGGGGATTGTTCCTATCTAAATTTGCACAGGATTCCATAGAGAGTGTTCCTCAGCAACACACCCAAGCCACCAAAAATAGCTGATTATTCTAACACTCCCTAGCAGCATAATCTAGAAGACCTACCCTTTTTCTTAAGCTATCAGAAACTGCTGTTCATTCCAAATACAAATAGCAGGATAGAGGGATTTTTGTTTTTCTATCTAAAAAAATTAAAAATTATAATAACCACATAAGTATATATTAGAATTCCGGCTTGTTTCTTTAGGGCTCACCACAGAATTCATTCATATCCCTGGCCTTTTTGCTTGTTGCTGGCACTAACATGGGCTAAGAAAACACCAAAAAAAGAAACCAAAACTCATCTTAAAACAGCTCTTACTTGGAAAGCTTTGGTTCCAACTGATTTCAGTGGAACTTCCAAGTAAATGTTTCAACCAAAGTAATACATGGGGGGAAAGGGGTTGGAGAGAAATCCCAGTGTAGCGGGGCAATTTTAAACAATGACAATTTTTCAAAGCTTATACAAATTGGTAAATTGCTTTGACAACACAATCCTATACTTGTCTAATTTGCATGGTAAGAAAAAAAAGGATTATCTGGTGAAAGTGGGTCTTCCTAGATAATAGTCACCTGGGACAAATGGAGCAAAGGGAAGAAATAGGAATGTTTTTCTCTCTCAGACACATGCACACAACTATAATTTATAGGAGGTGAAACCAACTGCAGTTGTTCAAAGAACTGTAAATAGTGAAAATATAAACTTGATGCTGTCTGTCACTTTTAAATTATTGCACTATAAGGCAAGGAAGAATGGGAATAAGCTGAAAAATAAATAGGTCAATAGACAAAAACTAGGACAATAGACTAGGAGACAAAAGCACAAATGCAGAGAACATGGGCCATAAAATGCTACAGTAATGTAGGTTGGAAGCAAAGGATGTGCCATTGTGGTTCAAAAGATTCTTGTCCTTGTTTTCGCCTTCAGTGGATTACCTCCTGCCCCAAACTTCTTGTTAAATCATTGCTTTCTATATTCCCATTTAAAATAAAAGGCTCCCTCCTGCCTTTTGAATTTTGGTAGGAGGAGGAAACGATCACAGACCCCTCTTACGAAAGCCACAGTCTAATGCACATTGGGCATAAGCTCGGTGATACCCAGGGCACTTATGCGTTTAAGGATCTCTTGGCTTAAAAAATTATCCACAGAACATGTAATTTGTTCCCATATGTACATGAGAAAGAGAGCTATACAGAAGTCTCTTTCTGTAGTGTCATTAAGAGTACTCTCCTTTAATGTGACGGTCTACTTTACAAGCAAAGAATTCATGATTTGCAGAAAAAATATAGTATATCTGGTATATGCCTGCCCTTGACCAGGAATCTAGCTAGAAAACGGGCTTCTAGCTATTATCTGCCCAGAAATAAATACATAAAAGTTGTTACTAAGAGGTACTACAAAATACCACATCTTAGTGTTTTCATCAAACTAAGGGGAGCGAAAAACTTGGGTGAGCCTTCTATATGTTGTAATAGCAGCCCACTTGTATTTTCCAAAACATTTATTTTTTTCTCCCAAATCCCAAATTATTCCCAAATTTCATACAGTCACTTGGGGAAACTGCACAAAAATTCACTTACAGCATGATCCTAATATAGGTTTAGGACTCTGTCAGTTTAAGTGGGACATGCTACTGCAACCAACGTGTATTTTACTTTTCCAGAAACTCCCTTTAAAGGCTGATAAAGAAGACAGAAAAAAACACAACTCCTTCCAAACTAGAGGCATGCACATGCTCATTTTGATTCTGAAATACGCCAGTTGTTTAAATCTTTGGGTTTAAAATTTAATATTCTCTTAGACAGCATTTGCCTCTGAAACCACTAGTTACCCTCAACAACTTACTTTATAATTCTGAGGCCAAAATCCTAAACGCATTTGCTGGGGAACATGGTAGGATTTGCCTCGGAGTAAAGAGGCATAATGGGCTGAGCTGTAAATACTGAAGTGGTTTCTTCAGGACTGTGATCTTCGGTTCAGGTGCTTGGGAGTAAGGCTCAGTGATCAGTTTTGCACCAAATACTTCAGGATTTTGATGCTGGCAATGTCTCTCCCCTCCCAGCCCCTGCTTTTCTCACAGAAGAGCTGAACCTTGGAAGTCCAACTACTGAAATGCCAATTGTGCTGAAAAGAGTCAGGGCCATTACTATGTAAATTACAGGCTTTGGGTTGTAATGGAACAAGATATGCAACAAATTCCACATTTTGTATTAACTACAGATGTTGCCCAGCTATATATTTTTAAAAGATTAGCACATGTCATAAAAGCTACATGTTGACTTAGTGGGCCTGCCTCTTGCCTTTTTTCTCCCATTTTTGCTGCTGGCTGAGAATGTAGAAATCTAAATTAAGGAGTAGAGGGGAATGACATTCAGCTCTTCGCTCACAGATCACAAGTCTACCATTTATTTTAGTGAAAGCCTTTGCATGCATGCAGACCATAAAAGAAAAGAGAGGCGGCAGGGCAGGGGACAGCTTATCAGGCCCTCCTCCAGTAACCTCAGGCAAAACTTCAACAACAATTTCTGATCAAAGATCTCATTCACACTCGATAAATCATAACAAGTAGAGTCTGGAGATGCATTTATTTCTATCCCTTATGAGACTTTGTTTGGAATGCCTAGCTAGCAGTTCAGTCTTTTAGTCATATGTTCCACTTTCTGCTTCAACTGGGACCTGTAGGCTGCGGAAACTCTTCTTCCTTCCATCTCTTACTGAGAACTCCTGGGTAACATATTATAGTCTTGGTCTCCTGATTGAAGACCTTCAGATGTCACCACTGCAATGTCAAATATTGATAGCATTTTTTCAAGCGAGGGAGACCGGCTGCTGGCAAAACTCGATTTTGGTAAGATGGTGACTTTGCCGTCTGCCTGTTCCACTTGACAATGGAGCCACCAGCGTCCCCTGCCTTCAGGGGAAAGCCCACATGATCTGTCCCTTCCACCACCTGGAATCCTGCATGGTGATGTGGAGGTGCAAGCAAACCATTCCATTAATACAACCCCGCGGCTCAGAAATGCTGTGCACAATGTCTTTCCTGTGTTAAGCTGTTGTACAGTCAATATTCTGATCACTGCTAGACTGACATCTAAAATTAACTGTATGATATTTGCATAGCACACCCAGTTTGCTCCTTCATTTGCACCTTTTTACATCTTTGCATCCCTTACAGACCTATGCACCCTTTGGATTCCTGCTGGTGCGCAGAGTGGACTATAGCAGAGCTTGAAATGTATTGCATTATTGCATTGCATTGGTAACCTACCATTTTTCACCCTCTTGCAAGGAATCCAGGGTGGCTTACATAATCCTTGTCCATTCCTCCTTAATCTTCACAACAACCCTATGAGGTGGCTTGGGCTCAGAGTCACCCAGTGAGCTTCATGGGTGAATGGAGACTAGAATCTGGATCTCCTGGGTCCTTAGTCCAGCACTAACCAGCACACTGCACTGGCCCTCCTATTTAACAGGGGTTTAAAACTTGCGTGGTAGGGTCTCCATGGTGGCAGTAGGAGGGGGGATTACAGGGCGTTTTGTAACTGCTTCACAAATTGTTTTCTAGCAGGACATTTGAAGTATGCATCTTAGAATATAAGGTGTTAAGGTGACAAACACACATTGCACACTCCGCAGGGAGCAATAATTGGTTGCAGGTCCCTGTCGAGAGTCTGCTTGGTGTCAAATCCACATTTGTTGCTATGTAATGTGTGAAATAGCCACCACACTGGGATAGTTCCCAGTTGGGCTGTTAAGGGCAGAGCATCCCCATGAGCTGCTGAGGTTAAGAAAGTTTTAATACAAGTTGAATGTTGTAACTGACAGCGATGATATTGGCTCAATTCATAAATATTACAGAGAAACATTAAGCGGCGTGATGGGTTATTGCTCTGAGCCATTGTAAGCTTTATGTGCTCTTGATAAAACCAGCCTTTTATGTTTGTAAGCAGTTTAATGCAAAAGGCCCATCTTCCATTATATCTATAGCCCTATCTATATGATCTATACCTATCAATGTAGTGCATGAGTTTGCTGTGTTCTCCTTTGTGTCCTTTCTCATCACACAAGCATAAGCTCATCCTTTCCTAGTAACTCTGTGCTCTGGGGGCTGTTGGGATGCCTGTCTGATAGCGAGGCTGGCATGTTGCCCAGCAGGGCCTGGCTACCACTGCACTGTGTCTTTTTGCCTATCTACCCATTTCCTGTCCCAGTAATTGGTCTATCTTGACATAATTACTTTCCTTTTTTTGAATTATGCATTTCCCCGAACTTTCGTCCATACGCTAGGGCAGAATGGCACAGTCATTTTTCTAATGTTTGGCAGCTGACCTTCTGTTCCTTTTCTTGGGTAACCGATCTTTGTTTTTCCTTCCAGGACACCTGAGTCCTACTGCTTGTACACTGAGAAAACACAAGACAAATCGAAAGCCCCGAACACCATTCACCACTTCCCAGTTGTTGGCTTTGGAGCGCAAATTCCGACAGAAGCAATATCTCTCCATTGCTGAAAGGGCTGAATTCTCAAGCTCGCTTAACCTCACAGAGACACAGGTCAAAATCTGGTTCCAAAACCGGAGGGCCAAGGCAAAGAGACTGCAGGAAGCTGAACTGGAGAAGTTAAAGATGGCTGCCAAGCCTATGTTGCCTTCTGGCTTTAGCCTCCCTTTCCCCATCAACTCCCCTCTCCAGGCAGCCTCCCTCTATGGAACATCATATCCCTTTCACAGACCTGTGCTTCCTATCCCACCTGTAGGACTCTATGCTACTCCTGTTGGATATAGCATGTACCACTTATCATAAGAAGCTCAGCTGCAATGCAGTCATAGACTTTCTGATGGATCTTGCCCAGATCAAGAGTGCAGTACAAAACCATTGCTGGTCCTTTTTCTGCATGCTTGTATGTGCCTTATCAAGTATATAGGAGATTGAAAGCAGAACCTGTATTCAGCCGGGTGTGACTCAGAATCTGATCCTGAAAGAAAGGTGTATTTTTTTCTTTTTGACATACATAAACTAATATAGTTTCTTTATATACTGCACATGGGGTGGGAGGACTCAATCATTAAATCATGCATTTTCACAGCATATAATATTTTCCCCATGATGTTCCCAGTGGAGTATTGCAACATGTGTTTTCTTTTAAAAAGTAGGAACCATTCATTCTTTAAAGGGCAAGACGTGCAGCCCCATCCTATGTACATTTACTCAGAAGTAAGGTCCTCTTCAGTCTATGGTGCTTACTCCCAGGTAAATGTGCATGCAGCTTAGAATGCAGGGTTGATTTGTTGTTTGATTGGGCAGCGATGGGTTGGGTAAAGCTTAAACAGTCATGCGAGTTTCATGTGTAGAACCTACTTTGGGATAAAAGCAGCCTTAAGGGAGGCAGAATGGGGATAGCGCTGTCAGGGTCTGCCTCTCTCTTCAGGTCTCAGACTGAGTCCCAGTCCTGAAACTGATGTGCAAGGAGCTGCTCTGTCTCCGATATAAAATGCTGGACTAGGCGGACAGTTGGTCTGGTCCAGCAAAGCAGGTACGCAGAATAGAATCCTTTGAAGCCCTCTGAAGACTTGCTGCAGAGGGTGCGTGGAAGTGGACTTGACCGTTGTACAAAAGGTCCAGCGGTTGTGATCGTGTTGCTGCTCATTCTTCGGGCGCAGTTGGTCCTTGTGCAGCAATGCGCATACATGGAAAAGCGAAGGAAGATGGCCTGGGAGGTTTGTCAGGGTTTTATCTGGATTCCAGCCTCCTGTTCTTTCTCAGCAGTTGCCCCTTACAATCAGTTTCGATTATATGTGAGGTCCTGGATATTGGGAAAGAAGGCCAGAAAAAGTGGGGGCGGGCATAGAGGTATGGAGAAAGAAGTGTTGCTTTTCTGAGAGGGTGTGTGCATGCCTGTGCAGAGAGCCTATCAAAACCATGTTGCAGAGTTGGTTGTTTTTTATCGCAATAATTTGTGCTTTAACCATTATTAGCTTGTAAAATGAATGATGTGTAATGTTTCTTGAATCACCCATAGTTGCAGAATCCCAAATAAACCTCTGGGAACAGATAGTGCCACCCACTCTAAAGGCAGGGCTTCTCCTCCTTTATTTTTCTTTTGGAGCGGGGAGGGAGGGAGGGAAGAGTTCTATTTAGTGTACTTGGTACTATATAACCCATTGTTCTAATTATTTTATTATTCCTATTGCTAAACGTTGTGGTAAAGTGTCTGTGGAGGATGCAGGTTGCGGAAGACGGGATGTCTTTCTCCAAGATGCATTTTTTAGCATTTGTAAGTGGAAAAAAAGAGCCACAAGATTTGTTGTTGGGTTTGGTCGCCCTGCTACACGCTGTGTTGTGAACTCTTGCCCGGTAGCTCACTTCCACCCTTTTACCCCCAGTATATTAAATCCCTTTGAAAGGGATGCCTTGTACAATTTTATATATTTTATTGAAGATTTATTTCTTATCTCTTATTTAGAATTAAATTAAAAATATCTTGTTTAATTGTGTGTGGACTGTCCATGCTTGGAGTTGCTTGTTTTTGAGAAGCTGAATGCTGTTTCTACCCTTTGGGGTTAAGTTTAAGATCAAGGGAATAGTAGGGGTTATTGTCATTTGTATTGCCTTAATGACAGGCAGTTTCTCCTAAATTTTAGTCTGAAGAGAAAACCAAGTGTGCAGCAAACCAGTACTGAAGTTACAGGTCTAAATTCGCCTTTGCGTACCTCTAGTGTATACAAACTATTGATACTGATTTCCTGGCTTCTTCATAGCTGACTTCGTAAAGTTACTCACAGTTTGCACAAGTGAGTAAGGAGCAGTAATGAAATTCTCCTAGTGGAATGAGATAAAGGGGATTCTGGATTTCACAGCGATTGCAGTGCGTGCCTCTGCTTTGCCTTACTCGGAAGTAAATGCTGCCACATTCAGTGGACCTGCTCCCCAGTAGGCAGCACTGGATGGCCCTCAAGACGGGCTGAAGAATCCGGTCTAGAAAGATAGTTAAGACAGAATCAGAGCATAATGCAAAGGCTACGTACTATTCACAAGGAGCATCTCTCTAGAAGCAAAAAACGCACGTACGGTTGCCCGCCTGAAAAGTGAGCGCTCAACGCCACGCTGAATACCTCTCCTCTGACAGTCGGAAATTGATTAGGGAGCTGGAAGATCATGGAAAGATGAGGTAATGTCATTCCAAATGTCGAAGTCATATTTGCCCATAATCGAGATGATCTAAAAGCCCCGGGATATGTTGATACTTCAGGCTGCAATCCTATACCCATTCACGCGGGACGAGACCCCGTTTAAAGCCTGAGCGGGGCTTGCTTTTGAGTAGACGTGGCAGAGAGCATCGTCATGCGCCCGGGCTAATCGGGGCTACTTCCCCAGGTGGTCGCCCTTGATGAAGGGGCGTGTGCGCACGTGTGTTCGCGTCTCCCCTTTTCTTGGCGTTCTCCACTGGCGACTGTCTCAGCCGAGAAAATGCGTTACGCATCCAGGGCGAGACAGCCTGAGCGCTTCCGCGGAAGGACGGGATAGAAATGCTTGTAGTAGTAGTAGCAGTAATCTTAATGCACCGCTTGATACCCCACTCTCGCATTAGCGTGCTGTATCAAATCTACTCTGCGGAGTCCCCCCTGTCCCCAGCCTTCCGTCCACCCTGAAACTCCGGGGCCGCACTTGGGTAACCAGACGGATTCCCCGGTCCCATCCCCGCTGCAGTTCGCTAGACTCCAGGAAGGCTCCGCTCAGAAGAGGACACGAGCGCCAGGGCAGCGAGGTGAGGCCAGTCTTAGGCCAGCGGGTGCTTGCTTCTCTTTCGCAGTTCAAAGGAGGCCATGCCCTCATCCTCCAGGAGATGCCCGGAGAGCCTAGGGCTGCCAAGAGCCCAGCTAGCGACCCCCTTCGACTCTGCTTCACAGCAACTGCTCAGTTAGCGTCGCTCTCTCCGGCCCGATCCTCAGCACGCTTCCACAGAAGCAAGCCCTTAGTTTAGCAAGGCCCTGTCGCAAAAGCGCACAGGAATACAGGCCTGGGGTGTGAAAAGCGCTTCCAACCGGCATTACCTGGACCCACGAATCTATAACCTCCCTGGGGGTAGGAATGACTTCTGAGCGGACATATAAAGAGCAGTAAAGAAGGCATCCTATATAACAGCTTTGTAAGGCTCGCTACTTTTGGTCTGCCCTTTGTGCCGAGGGCAGAGCGCCTTTGAAGACTGACTTTTCGAAGGCCACACCAGCTCAGTGCTCTGTCCTCTTACCCGGGGAAAAGCCCCATTAACCTGGGCAGGCCCCGCTTTGAAACTTCCGGCGCTGTTAGTCTACCGCGTGTAGGACGAGGCAGGGCTTCAAAAGCCACCGTGAAGCCTCCCTCAACATCCCGATGAAGCTGCTCTGGCTTCTGGGCAGGCGATTAGAGGACCGCGCTGTCGGCACGTCCATGGCAGAGGCGAGATGAGGAGCGGGTAGGGGAGAGCCACAAGCTCTGGGCGTCTCCATCTGCTAGCCGCTTGTTCAGATCACGTCGGCTCGGCCGAAGAGCGCTGCTTTGCTGGGTGTCTGGCACTGCCAAAGGGCGCTGCAGTCATGAGAAGGGGGCACTGGGCCGCCATCTAGACACAGGCCGCTGGGTAGGGAAGACAGAGCCGGCTGCCTCTCTGTTTTGGAGTCGGGGTACGGCGGCCACTAACCAACCGCCGCGCTTTGGTCAGCCCTGCATTCGAGTATCTAGACGCAGAATCCGAATTAAAGCCTCCAACTATGTGCGGCTTTATATGCAGTCTTTCTTTCCCACCCCTCACCCTCTGCAGACGTTTCTAATTACCGTTGATAGCTGCGTTGTAAAAAGGTGGGGAGAAGCACTTTCTCTTTAAAAGAACGATTTGCCTTAATTTAGCAGGGAAAAGAGCGAGCCTCGCCTGATCCTGAGCTGCCCTTAAAAACAACCGAGCCGGGGGAGGGTTATAAAGCAAAGAGCGCAGCCGTTCTTCGGCATAAATCAGCGGTGTCAGGGATTACTAGGAAATTTCCGCGCTGGAAATTCTTTGAGCAAAGAAGCTTTAAGGGTGTTAGGAGTGATCTTGCGAGGGACTCGAGGATTTATTGCAGAAGACTGGGGTGTTGAAGGGAGAAACTTCCAAGGCCTCTCTTCGCAGGCGCTCCCCTTTCATTCCTCTTTTAGCAGAGACAGCTCCCGGCTGCCTCTAACTGGAGCTGTACCCGGCGCCCAATTTATTAACTTGCTCCAATCGGCGCTTTCAGAAAGACGGAGGTAATTGAGTATTAGATTTTACGAGAGGGAGGTGTCTTTTTTAAAAACACAAGCACACTGGTGAGATTTCATCGCGGCTTTAATGGGAGGTGCCCTGGAGGCAGTGGCGAAGGGGTGTGTGTGTAAACTCAATCAATTACATATCCAGGGAGCCCGGGCAGAGGCGCTGCCTCGCAGCTACCCCCCCCCCCACCCCGCTTTCCGCCAAGACGCCGCGAAATCCACCTTTCCATAAGGGTTCTCTGAACGCGAAGCCGAATTATTCCGGAAGAATGGTTTGGACACACCACGGATGCCGTTCCGAGGGGGCCTAGACAAGCCGGCTATGGGGAGCTTTAAAAAAACGCAACCTAAACAATTTCCAGGAAAAAGCGGAAAAAATTGGGGGAAATATCGCAGCTTGGAAACGGGTCCCGAGCTCGCAAAATTCCAGCGCGGTGAGCGGGGCCTGCCCCCTCCACGGTCGGAAGAATGGCGCCCCCGCCCCCGATCCGCGGATTCCCCCGCGAGGAGCTGTTGACACAAACAGTTTAGGCATCGGCTTTTTGGCACAGCCGAGCCAGCGGCCATCAGGCGCGGCCGCGTCTGCATTTCATGTTGTCGCGCTGCCTTGTCAAACTGCGCGGTTTCCTGCCTTTTGTGGAGGAGCAGGGCAAAGGCGAGAGACTACCGGGGCGCTATTAAACCGAGGCGTTGGTTCAATCCGGAGCTTGCTGGATGGGCCTGATTTTCCTGGCAGGCCGGATTAGCCCTCTTCTCCCCGCCTCCCCTCCCCTCCCCTCCGTCCCTCCCTCCCTCCCCTGCCTCCCAACGCGCGCGGCTAAGCCTCCAGTCGTAAAAGCACCGCTCGACGTGCGCGCCGGCCTTCGCCTGGCCGCTGAAGGGCGTCCTGCTGCAGCCGGGGGCGACTTTCCAGCTACCTGCCCCGACGGGGAGGATGCCTAAGCGCCGCTCACGCTCGCGGAGCACCAGGCGGGGGGAAACACGCACGCAGGCATCCCGTGTTTCTGCTAGCAGCGGCCACCCCATCCTAATTTTGCTTTGTGTTTAATACCCCTCCTGACACCCAAGGCGGCTTTCATGGTCCTCTCCGTTTTATCCTCGCAGCAGCCCTGCGAAGTAGCCTAGGAGGAGAGTCAGAGAGCCTAACGTCATCCAGCGGGCTTCATGGCTGAGTGGGGACGAGAGCCCGCACCCCCCCCCCCCCCCCCGGGTTTTCCCCCCCCGGCCCCCCCCGCAAAGGGCAGAGCCCCCCCCCCCCCCACACCCGCCCCGGAATGGGAGTAGGGGAGCGGGGTTGATATCTAGGCCGGCGCACGCTGGACCCAACGCCAAAGGGGGACACGGCTCCTGCTTTGACCCTGAGGGTCTCCACAGCCCGAGCTGGTGGTGCTTGCTGATGCCAGAAGCGCGTCCAGCTGCGCCTGAGGTCCACGAGAAGGATCGGGGTGTTTGGCTCAGGGAGCAAAGCAGGACCCCGAGGGAAAGAGGCGCTGGCGTTCAGACCTGACACCAGCAAACCGTGTGGCGCCCTCAGCGCCCTCTCCTTCACACGCAGGGTGGGCCTGTTGGCACGCAAGCGGTGCCAGCCTTGGAGGGTGCTGGAGATCTTTTTAATTCACGAAGTTCGTTCCCCTCCGGGCTCCTCCTAAGTCCAGGTGACACTGGAGGATGGCGCAGGCACGAGCTGCGGGTTTGCGCAGGAGCCTGAGCCGAGCCCTAACCCCTGCCGAGCAGCAACGCGCTGTCCTGCCTCCCCCGGGCTGCACGCTTGCAGCGGAGGAGAGCCGTCATTTCGGCTGCCGCGCTAGACCCTCCGAGGTGCGAGTATGCCCGATTGAGATCGATGGGCACGCCGTCTGCTGCTGAGAAGACGCGCGTAGGATCGCGGTGGGCCCTGTCTGCCCACGGTGATCCAGGTCAGCCCCCTCCTTTGGCAAGTTCCGGTGTGGCAGTAAGATTTCCGCGTTTGGCTGCCGAAAATCCAGCTTGCTTTGATTTTGAATTGAATCTGGGGCAAATTCGTCCACAGCAGTTATGAAACGGGGACGTGACACTTCCTTGGCGATCTTCTGACTGGATTCTGGGGCAGTTGCAGCTCTTCGGTTCCGTTAATTAAGGTGCGGGCAGCTTAATTTTCTCTGCTTTCTATTTTCAAACAAAAGACATGATTAAAACGCAGTTTATAACTTTGTCTTTAAAGCTTGCAAACCAGATCAACTGACCTCGAC